TTCGACAAAGGATCCAAGAATACATAATGGGAAAAGGATAATCTCATCAACAAATGGTATTGGGAAAACTGGACAGCCACATTTAAAAAAATGAAACTGGACCACAATCTTATACCATACACAAAAATTAATTCAAAAATGGATTAAAGACCTCAATATAAGACCTGAAACCATAAAACTCCTAAAAGAAAGCACAGGGATAAGCTCTATGATTTTTTGGATTTGAAACCAAGAGCAAACACAACAAAAGCCAAAATAAAAAAGTGAGTCTATATCAAACTAAAAAGCTTCTGTGTGGCAAAAGAAACCACCAACAAAATGAAAAGGCAACTTTTGGAATGGGCTAAAATATTTGCAATGCACAAATCCAATAAAAGGTTAATACACAAAATATATTAAGAAATTCATACAACCCAATAGCAAAAAACCCAAATAACCCAATTAAAATGGGCAAAGGACCTGAACAGATATTTTTCCAAAGAAGACAAAGGGCCAACAGGGACATGAAAAGGTGCTCAGTATCACTAATCATCAAGGAAATGCAAATCACAACCACAATGAGATAGCACCTCACACCTGTCAGAATGGCAATCATCATAAAGACAAGAGAACAAAGGCAGAGCAGGTGGTGGAGAAAAGGGAATCATTGTGTACTGTTGGTGAAAATGTAAACTAGTAAAGTTACCAGGGGAAATAGTAGGGAGGTTTCTCCAGAAATTAAAAATAGAATTACCATCTGATCAGCAATCCCACTTACAACCAAAGGAAACAAAATCATTATCTCAAGAGATATCTGTATTCCCATGTTCACTATAGTATTATTCATAATAGCCAAGGTATCGACACTATTTACATGTCTGTAGATGGATGAAAGGAAAAAGGAAATGTGACATATATATATTTTATATATATATTTTATATATAGTATATATTTTATAGATGTATAATATATATTTTATATATATAATATATTTTATGTCATATATTTTATATATAATATATATTTTATATGTTATATATGTTTATAATAAACATATATATTATTTTATTAGAATAAAATTATTTTATAAATATAAAATATTATTCAGCCTTAAAAAAGAAGGAAATCCTGCCATTTGAGACAACATGGATGAACCTCGAGGGTATTATGCTGAGTGAAATAAGCCAGTCAGAGAAAGACAAGTGCTACATGGTATCACTTATATGTGGAATTTTTTAAAAGTCAAATTTATAGAAACAGAGTAGAAAAGTGATTGCCAGGGACTGAGAGGTGGGTAGAGGTTGGTAAAAGGGTATAAACTTTCAGCTATAGAATGAATTATGTCTGAAGATCTAATGTAAATAATTGACATTTGCTAAGAGAGCTGAACTTAAATGTTCTCATTAATTAAAAAAAGATAAGTATGTGAGATGATGGATGTGTTAATTAACTAGATGGGAGGGAATCCTTCCATAATGTATACATATATCAACTCCCCACACTGTACACTTTAAATACTTTACAATTTTATAGGTAAATTATATGTCAGTTATACCTCAATAAAGCTGAAATTTAAAAAAAGAGAAGGCACAAATAATATTAAAATGAAAAAAGATACATAGAATTTTTAAAAAATTATAGTATATAGTTTTATGCCAATTTTTTTTAAATGAAAGGAGAATAATTGCCAAAATTAATTCAAGAAAAGGTAGGAAACTTAGAGAAAACAATACCATTAGGTCATTTGAACTGGTAGTCAAAAATATATCTGTCTTAAACAAGACATGTGGACATGTGCACACATGTCTGCTCACAAAAATATACCAGAGGAAAAAGGGCCTCAGGCCTTTTATAGGCAAGATTTACCAACTTAAAAGATCAGTGATCCTTATCTTAAACTACTCCATAGAGAAAGAAAAGAAGAAAAGCTTGCCAACTGATTTTATGAAGCTACTACAACTTTGGTACCAAAACAGGATGAGGACAGTGCAAGAGAAAAATATTATGGCTCGATCTCAGGAATATAGAGGCAAACATTCTAAATAAAAGTTAGCAGTATGGGGGTTTTTTTTTACCTTCATCATGATGAGGAAGAATGTGAGGAAGTGTCAATATTAGAAAAATTGAACAATATAATTCGCCATGTTAACAGATTAAAAAAGAAAAATCCTATGATCATCTCTGTATGTGTGAAAATTTAAAAATCATGTAATGCGACTCAACATTAACAATAGGGGGAAAAAACCTCTGAGCAGAGTAGAAGTATAAGAAGATTTTCTGACCCTGATTATTGCCTTCAGCCAAAACCCCAGATCCAATATTCTTAGTAGGCAAACTTTAGGATCATTCCATCTTTCCATTAAAAGCAGAGATAGTTCAAGAACGACAACTACTGCCACCATCGTTGAACATGTCCTCAAAGCCCTAGCACACACAATAAGACAAAGAATGGAATGGGGACAAGGAGGGAGGGAGAAAGGGGCACCAGCCAGGAATGTATGGGACTGCAAATATCAGAAAACCTAACTACCAGTGGCTTAACCAATGAGGAGTTCATTTGTCTCACTCTTAAGAAATCAGGAAGTAGGCAGCTGGTGGTACTCATCAAAAAAATCGAAACAGCTCTTTCTGCTTTATTTTCTTTGGATGTTTCATTTCAACCTCATGCTTGCCACCTCCTGGCTCTATGATGGCTCCTGCATATCTGGGCCTTAACGTACACATTCGAGGCAGGAAGAAGGGAAAACAGTGGTTACCAGTCTCTTCCCAGAAGCCCCTGGATGGACTTCCCCTTTTATCTCACTGGTCACATGGCTACTGTTAGCTCTAAGAAAGGCTGGGAAAGTGAATGTCTAGGGATAGGGTTAGGTTTAGGGTTAGGGTTAGGATTTGGGACATACTATACTGACTTCTTATATAATAAGTTATGCTTGGTACAATCCATTCATGAAAATTCTTTGTTGGATATTAAATATATTTACTATTTGGGCCATACTTATGCTAAAACATTATTTGTTGTTTAAAATTAAAATGTAACTGTGTGTCCTCTAAACATTTTGTTTGCTAAATCTGGCATCCCTTGGAGTTGGGCATATTGAAAAAAAATGACGTTTTAAAATTAGCAAGAAAGAAAGGCTATTGTGCAGGTAGATATCAGCAACTACCATAGAGGCATACAGGGTTGTCCAGAAAGACAAGATTTTTTTCCCCTGACATTAACTCTAATTATCATACAGATCTTTCCAGAAGGAAAATTGAGTAGCAAAATATAGGCAGTACCTTATGATACAATTTTGTTAGAGATGCACGTTCTTCAAATGCATGTGTCCCACAAAATTTAAGGCTACATGCAATTATAATTCAGTGACAGAATTTTTGCAGGTAACTAAGAAAAACTTCTAAAAAATTTTAGATATACCATTAACTGTGGATTACCCATATGAAATTACAAATCTTTTAGATCTTTATCTACCAGATTTCATTAAAATTTTACTAAATCCTTTCAAAATTATGCCTACTCAAAAACTTGTCAGCTGCTGTTTTGTTTCAACATGAGAACTTAACCATAAATCTCACTCATCTGCAGGAACCTGATAGTTTAACAACAGTATACTGAGCCTGCAGACACTGGGAATAACATGGCTTTACGGGTGAATCTGTGGATTTCAAGCAGCCGAAGTCCAGGGTGTGGACTGGCCTTCAGAAGTGGGAGGGCATAGTCCAAGTGAACAACAGGGCAGGAGAGCATAGAAGTCAAGGCAAAACTTGTAGGCCTAAGATGGAGTTTCCATACACTCTAGCCAACTGCCAGGCTCCAGGAAGGGGATGGCAGGGAGGCTTCCTGAAAGCCAAGAAAACAGAAAACCAGGTCAAACCAGGTTGGTCAGAGGCAACCAACAAATGCCTTTTGTGGAGATGAATTTTAGTGATTTAGACTCTGGAATTCCTGCTACTTTTTAAGAAATGGCCAAAGAGATTGCTTGCAGCCAACTTGAGGCAATGTGAAAGAGCCGAGAACTCAAAGTGGGATTCCAAATTGTGTACTAATGTGCTGTATTTGATCAGTATCTGTCCATTCTTCCTAAGATGGCTGTTACAAAATGGACAGAAAAGGGGTTGGACTAAGGGAGTTGAAAGAAGCCCCACTCCTTTGACTCAATTTACTATTTAAATAAATTATATTTGTTTTCTTTTTTGTAAAGAGTAGAGTAAGGATTTTTCACCCCTGAGAATGTCAGACTTGAGCTATTTGTAAAGGGCAGTTGGATTTGCTGCCAGGCAACAGGGGAGAAGCGGTTTATCTCCCAAGCATTGATATCCGATAGGCCTACCCACCTATGGACCAGATGTGCTCTCTAAACACTGTTGCTTTGAGATTTAATTAATTTCAAAAATGATATTTACTGTATTTTTTTCACTTGTATTATTTCCCCAAACCATTTAAATTCTTCGGAATCATCATTTTTACTGACCACACAATAGAATAGTCCACCATGTGTAGTTGTATTAACTTCCCTATTAGATGAACTTGGGAATATGGCTATTTGAAGAGATCTTATAGTGAAACATTTTTTTTAAGAATTTACTTATTTATTTGAGAGAGAGAACACAAGCAGGGGGAGGGGCAGAGGGAGAGGGATAAGCAGACTCCCAGGACCCTGAGATCATGACCTGAGCTAAAGGCAGATGCTTAACCAACTGAGCCACCCAGGCACCCACAAAACGTTTTTATATAACCAATATTACTCTCTAATGTGCCTGATTTTAAAATGTACCTTTTTGTCTGGGCAGTGTGCACAAAATGAGCTGACCTTATATTCTGATGGAACAGTTGCCCTCCCATGCTTTTTGCTTTCCTTTTGAAATCAACGATCACAAATGTTTCATTGAATTGATACAGGCAAGACAATAGTGAATAGTGATAGAGCCATTTGACTTTCAAGTGGCAAACCCAATAGCATCCACCCAGTGACTCAGCCTTTTTCTGGAAGAGGTAACAATGCACCACCTCCATCCACAGCCCCTTTCGCTACACTTCAGAAACCACAGCTGATTCCAGTGGAAGCAAAGAAGTTCTCTTCTAAGAAACAAAGATCAAAGGTATTCATACTCCTTTTTTTTTAAGATTATTTATTTATTTGAGAGAGAGCATGAGCAGGGGGCAGGGGTAGAGGGAGAAGCAGACTCCCCACTGAGTAGGGAGCCTGATACTGGGCTCGATCCCGGGATCCTGAGATCATGACCTGAGCTGAAGGCAGATGCTTAACCAACTGAGTCACCCAGGCACCCCTCATGCTTCTAACAGAAGAAAATTGTTATTTACAGTATTCTCAGTGAGATTTTTAGTAATACACCATATTATAGAGTTGTACCTTTCATATGGAAATAAATACTATTTTGGCTGCTGGGATGCATTTGATTTTTAAAGGGGGATTGCTGTACAAGTAGATTCTACCATGACATTATCCGCAGGGTCTTTTTTTTTTTTTTTTTTTTTTTATTTGAGAGAGGGAGAATGAGAGAGAGCATGAGAGGGAGGAGGGTCAGAGGGAGAAGCAGACTCCCTGCCAAGCAGGGAGCCCGATGCGGGACTCGATCCAGGGACTCCAGGATCATGACCTGAGCCGAAGGCAGTCGCTTAACCAACTGAGCCACCCAGGCGCCCTTATCCACGGGATCTTAAAAAATTCAATCATGTCGCATTATTGTGAGATTAACTAAATGAGTGGGCCAACCTATACCACTAACTGGGTCAAGAGTCTAGGAATCTGGAATATGATAGCTATTGCTTTATATCCAAATTCGTGTTGTATAGGGTATGTTCTTATGAGATTTTACCCTACTTCATTTGTCTTTAAGCATAGGGTAAAAAGCAAGCTCTCCAGTTTTGCACAGATATCCTAATGAGGAAAGGGAAGAAATTCTGTATTCTCTAACATTAGGACCTCACGGTACAACATAATTAATCCTCATGGAGATTTTCCAGGTTTAAATGTGCTGGACTTTTGAAGCTTGCTTTAGGTTTATAAGCCACAGAGTTGTGCTAATTGAAACTTTTCGCCAGAAAAAAGGAGAGCTAGCAGTGTCTTTTTCAGGGCTTACCCTATGTGGTCCTATTTACAGCTGCTCCCATTAAAAAAAAAAAAGCAAGGAAGAGAGGGAAATGGAAGAGTGGCAGAGAAGAAATGAATCCTACAGTCTCTATGTAGTAGACTGTTACCTGCTCTTCCCAGACCTTCTTCTCCCAGGACCCTGGGATCATGACCTGAGCCGAAGGCAGACGCTTAACGACTGAGCCACCCAGGCACCCCCCACACCTTCTTCTTAACGCCCAAATCTTCCTCGAGATGCTTTCCCTGTATTTGCAGCACTGATGGGCTGTGTCCCCTTAAGAGAGTTCCAAGCTGTTTATGTAGCAGCGTGTCATGTGACACCCCAGTTGCCATGGCAAATATTTGTGTTTCATGAAAAATGTGGGTAAAAAAAAAAAATCAGTGTAAATGGCCAAATCCCTAGACAGACAGGCCTTCGGGCTAGTGTTTGGCCTGCACCACGATTGTTTCAAATTCAGCTGTTTAACAGGCTGTGCGAAGGCCACGGGCTAATGTGCATAATGGGAACAGGCGGGGGCACCTGTTTTGCTTCTCACCACGTTTGAGCTCTCCAGTCCCACAGTGTTATAGACAACAGATCTACAGGTAATACAAACATGACTAGGTTTTCTGCGCTAATCAATCTATCACAGAAAAAAAAAAATTATTTTAATAAAGACACTTCTGGAGGGCTAATTAACCCTGCCTTTAATTTCCTCTCTGTTGACTTCACAAAGCTTTCCCCTAGTGCTGAGGCAGTAATATTTAAAGACTCTTTCCTGTGGTCTCGAACTGGTACATTTCTGAATTGACTCTTCAATGGTAAATGTAATTATTCATACACTCCGTGAAGTGTCCTAGCGTGGAAGTGAAAAGGCTCACAGAAACACTGACAGAGCTAGAACAGACCTGGATCAGCATCCACCGGGCGGTGTGGTGCCACACGGAGAAGCCCCTTCTTGGAAATACTTCTCTCAGTGTACCCTAGATGCAGGACTTGGCATCTGACTATAGCTGTTTTGGTAAATATTTACTTCGTCAAACTCTCTCTTCAGATCAAACAGGGCTCTTGGCAAGCAAGGCAGCGTTGTCTGGGGTGGAAAAGGTCTTTCTAATTATTAGCTCCTGCCTGCATGGAAAGAAGGAACAGGCTGGCCCAGCGGGGGGACCTGGGGGAGGGAAGTGGGGGGGGGGAGGCTCTGTGCTTCTATTTGTTTTGTAAAATTGCCCATGAGAGTCATTTTGATTTAAACTGTGTCTCATTCTTCATTGTAGGGGAAACGCAAAAGGTCAAGAGGACTTCATGATAGGAAGGTCTGTAATTTGTGTGACTAGTTGAAATTTGGGGTTTGTCACCTGATGTCCCTTCCTTTTGCTTCAGGGCAAAAGTATGAGAGGCCGGTTGACAGCTGGAGACTGCAACAAAAGTTCTGCTCTTCTTTTATAAAAGAAATTAGATCATGTCTTCAGAAAAAAAAAAAAATGGTTTGCTTAAAGTGAAAAACCTTCCCTACCCCCCTTCAGTTAGGACTGAATTACTTCTCAGGCTTCAATCCAGAGAAGTGATTTAGCATACTCAAAATCTGGCTGAATCACAATGGTCTTCAACCTCAATCTACGATTCTCATCTTTTAAAAGTCCACTTGAAAATAAATAAAATGTGAAAAAAAATTCACTTAGCCCCCAGCATGGGCATACGTGTGTGTAAGTGTGCGTTCATACACACGTGCACGTGCATACACACTGCATATATGAGGTCATTGGTAAGGGGATGGGACTTAGGACTAAGCTGCCTAAAACCAATAAGGTAACAAACACATTGGGGGAATGAAATCGTTCCCACCGACAAGTACGTGCCAGCAAAGAACCTTCCACTGGGTCATGCGTGAGTCAGCAAAGTTCTGAACTTGAAGCAGGAAAGAGCTGGATTCTTCTCTTACTAATAGAGGAGTTTTGAGCAGGTCACTTAAATTCTGAGTGCCTCACTTTTCCTCATCTGTCAAATGGGGATAATAACTCTCATAGATTTGTTCTATTAGCTCTGTTAATGTGTGTGGAAATGCTTTGGAATTATAAAGCACTTGTTATCAGAATTCACTGGCCTGTTTTTTTTTAAAGATTTTATTTACTTATTTGACAGAGACAGCGAAAGAGGGAACACAAGAAGGGGGAGTGGGAGAGGGAGAAGCAGGCTTCCCTCAGAGCAGGGAGCCCGATGCGGGGCTCGATCCCAGGACCCTGGGATCATGACCTGAGCTGAAGGCAGACGCTTAACGACTGAGCCACCCAGGTGACCCTCACTGGCCTATTTTTAAACAACATCTTCTAGGCCCCCCTTCCTTCAAGGGTCTTATCAGAAAGAATTTCAGAGGGAGCTTAGCCACCCCTTTCCAAGGAAAAAGAGCCCATCTTCTGGGTCTCCTTGTACTTCTGCAGAGCTGTGACTAGACAGAGCTGTACTTACAGCAATGATCACATACAGTCCTTCTGAACTGAGACAGATTGCTCCTGGATAAACTAATCAATGCAATCAGAACCTTCCTTCAGCTTCCCTTGACTTCTTGCTACAGGGAAATTGTGAGCTTGCTTCTACACTTTAAAAATAGGATGTGCTTTAAGAACACTAGGCATGATGTATCAGGAATATTTAGAACAGCAAAAGTTGGTTGAGCATGTTCTTAGAACATGGCACTAGGCACCTTCCACATCCACTGAATGCTCACAGCAGCTCTAGAACCTCTGTACTGTCATTGTCCCCAGGCCCACATAGTTGGTGAAAGGGTGCGGAGGATCCAGATGACAGAATGAGGCTCCAGAGTCCACCCTCCTACACACAAGGTTATGAACTCTTCCACATGCGCTAGTTTTCCAAATGTTACCACTACTATGATGGTAACTACTACTAACTACCCCAACCACTACCACTACTACTCCTAACTAGCACCTTACACACATCTTACACACATGTGCCGACCACTGTTCCTATGCTTTACATGGATTAGCTCACCTCATCTGACAATATCTCTGAGCAGTAGGTACTATTATTATTCCCATTTTCCTGGAAGGAACCAATTACGGAGAAGTTAAGGTCATGCACCTAGTAAGAGACAGAGCCAGCATACAGAACTGGGCCATGTGGCTGCCAAAGCCCCAACGCATTAGAGAGTTTTTAAACTTTCAATAGTTTTTGGTAGAAATCTTTCTAAAAGATCCCATATCTCTGCCTCCCTGATGTAATCTAACATTTTCTCTCCCCAGTATCACGTATGCAGAGAACCCATTTCTAGTCGTTCTTCATTTGTTTCCTTCACATTCAGGACAGTGCTTGTCACGTCAGCTGTCATGTCTGCTTTCAGTGGCCCTGACTTTAAGAGACTGTTCTGTCTTCTAGCTCATTAACCAAATAACCAAGACTCAAGAAGTGGAAGGATAAAGTGGAGTCAGTCAGGCTCTGCACAAGGATCCAAGGAATATAAGATAATACACAGTGGTGGACTTCGTAGTTATTTCAAGAAATCTAAGGCCTGTATTTTCAGGGCTCTAATTTACCTGGTTAAAGTTGCTAAAATTGTCTCTCTCAGCAAATACATCTTTTTATTATCTCAAGGCAGACATGTTAACAACTATGTTAAGATCCACTTAATTTGGGCACCTGGGTGGCTCAGTTGGTTAAGCAACTGCCTTCGGCTCAGGTCATGATCCTGGAGTCCCGGAATCGAGTCCTGCATCGGGCTCCCTGCTTAGTGGGGAGTCTGCTCCCTCGACCCTCCCGCCTCTCATATGCTCTCTCTCTCATTCTCTCTCTCTCAAATAAATAAATAAAATCTTTAAAAAAAAGATCCACTTAATTTCAATTAATATTTTGATAATAAGTATGTTAACATAATAATTTTAATAAATATGTTAACATATAATAGTATGATAATAAATATGATAACAAATATGGTAAGATCCACTTAATTTCAATTAATATTTTGATAATAAAAATCTCTTTTATGGGTAAAACAAGCAAACAAATATATTTATTGGACGTAAGGGTCCAGGTTAAATTCATGAGTGTGTTCTGCTTCTGGAAATGGGGGAGGGAGAAGAAAGAGCTAAAAAGAATTAGAGGATTTCAATTCTACCTTATGTGTTGTTTTTTAAAATTTCAACACATATATAAATAATAGAAATATATCTAAATCTTATAAATAATTATAAATATATAAAATAAACTATATTTTTAAATGTAAAAGATTTAAATATATATTTTTGTCTCCTTTGCTTCAGAGAGATATATATATCATATATACATTATATATATTCTGTATTATCTAATGTTATCTAATTCATCCTCATGTAGATTCCTCCGGTTTAAACCACTGGGCTTTTGTAGCTTGCTTTCTTACATTTATGAGCCACAGACAGATATATATATAATATACATATACATATAAACGTGTAATATATATATAATACACATAAAGCAAAGAAGACAAAAGATTAACATGCGCCCATGGCAGTTTTTTATATTATTCTTCTATAATTTTCTGTATTTTCAAAACTTTTTCAAATTTCAAAGAAGAAACAAAAGAAAATCCTATTTCGAAAGATATACCTCTTGCTGTAAAATCTTCTTTGCTATAGAAAGAACAGGTTTGGGTGATAACCTTTTAATGTCAATTTTGGGGTCTTGCTTTTCTTAGTCATTCTTACACTGTTACTTTCTTTAGTATTTCCCCAGCATATTACTCTTTATCCTTATGTTATAGAATCGTGATTATTTTATACAGTTGAGTCAGTTGAACTATTTTAATGAGGCAACATATGTGACAGTGACACCACTGTGTCCAGTCTCATTTCCCCCCATCTGCAGACCAGCTCGATTTTTTACAAAACTTCCATGACCCCTCCAACGCTCACCCCAAGACCCCCAGGAAAAGGAAAAAAGGGGAAGTTCCCAGGAGGTGGGGCTCTAGACCCCTCAAACCCACAGCAGCTGTGTTAACTGTGGCCCTCTTTACCATCAGATTGTATTGTTTCTGAACAGTGTTCCAGGTTTGAAAATATATATACTTTGAAAACCACCAGGTGGTATCTAGCGGCAGTTTCAGCTTTCATGTGACCTATCTACTAAAGGGAATAAGCCCACTGCTTTACGTTTATTGAAGTGTGATTAACATTACATTAGTTTCAGGTCTACGATAGAATGATTCAACAATGCTATACGTTACTCAGTGCTCATCACAAGTGTACCCTTAATCCCCTTCACCTGTTTCACCCAACCCCCAACCCCCCACACACACACCTCCCCTCTGGCAACCACAAGTTTGTTCTCTGTATTTAAGAATCTGGTTTTTTGTTTGTGTCTTTTTTTTCTTTGTTCATTTGTTTTCTTTCTAAAATTCTACATACAAATGAAATCATATGGTACTGGTTTTTCTCTGACTGACTTATTTCACTTAGCATTATACCCTCTAGAGCAAGACCCCATTGTTGCAAATGGCAAGATCTCATTCTTTTTTTATGGTCCAGCAATATTCCATTCTGTATATATATATATATACCACATCTTTATCCATTCATCTGTGGGTGGACACTTGGGCTCCTTCCATTATCTTGACTATTATAAATAATGTTGCTATAGGCATTGGGGGGCATGTATCTTTTCAAGTTGTGGTTTTGGTTTTTTGGGGTAAATACCCAGTAGTGGAATTACTGGATAATGTGGTAATTATATTTTTAAATTTTTTGAGGAAATTCCATACTGTTTACCACGGTGGCTGCACAGTCTGCATTCCCACCAGCAGTGCAAGAGGGTTCCTTTTTCTCCACATCCTCACCAACAGTTGTTATTTCTTGTATTTTTAATTTTAGCCATTCTGACAGGTGTGAGGTGATATCTCATTGCAGCTCTTAGGTGCATTTCCCTGATGATTAGTGATGTTGAGCATTGTTTCATGTGTCTGTTGGCCATCTGTATGTCTTCTAGAAGAAAACATAGGCAGTAATTTCTTTGACACCAGCCATAGAAACATTTTTCTAGATATATGTCTCCTCTGGCAAGGGAAACAAAACCAAAATTAAACCATTGTGACTACACAAAAATAAAAAGCTTTTGCACAGCAAAGAAAACCATCAACAAAACAAAAAGGCAACCTATTGAAGGGAGAAGATATTTGTGAATGATCTATCCGATAGGGGGCTAGTATGCGAAATATATAAAGAACTTATGCAACTAACATCAAAAAACCAAATAATTCAATTAAAAAATGGGCAGAGGACATGCATAGACATTTTTCCAAATCAGCCTACTTCTTGAAGAGCAGAGA